ATGTGGCTCTCGAGCTGCTGTTTGCCGAGCCGCAGTTTGCCGACCACTGACCCAGGTGATTCTGCTGCAATTCGGAGTCCACAGGAGAAATGCAGCTCCCTCTGAATTGGTGGAATAGCGCCTGGGCGAGGGGTAAGTCCCTGTCAGAGCTGGGTTGGCACTTCCCTGCTCAAAGCTGCTGCTGGAACTGATCTCCCACAAACCTGCTCCTCGGTCTCTCTGTCACAGTAAGTCAGCAAGACGTGGACACCCTGTGGACTCCTCTCTGTCTCTCCCCTCTCTGCTACCTCTCTCTCCTCTCTCACATTACCCCTCTCTCCTCTCTCCTCGCTCTGTCCCTCCACTCCATCCACCAGCAGACCCTGTCAACTCCACCGTCAGATATTCCGGGTCTGGTCCCTTCTCCTCCTCACCACCAGCACTTCCTACTACTAAGGCACCACTCCTGCCCGAGGTTGCTGAAGTCAGATCATGTCACTCTTCTGCTGAAAACCCTCCAGCGGCTTTCCAGCTCACTCAGCCTAAAGTCCCATCCTCCCTGTGACCTAGAGGTCCTGGGAGACCTGCAGGGTTACCTCTCTCCTCTGTCCTCCCACAGCCCCACCCACCTGACAGACGGGCTGTCCAGCCTCCACTGTCCCCTCCTCTAGGCCTCTGCCCTAAGGCCGCCTTCTCCAGAGGCCTGACATTTAAAGGAGCAAATCCATCTTCCCCCTTCCCTGAGTTAAGTTTTTGCACAGCTCTTGACACAATCCTCCATACTGAGTAATTTACCTGTCTGTTGACTCCTGCCTAGGAGATTGTAAGCTCAGGACAGGAATACATTCTTTTCCCCCACTGCTACAGCCCTAAGTCCTAGACCAGCACCAGGCCCATAGTGAGTGCTCAATAAATATTTGTTGAATTATTGAATGAATATTGCAACAAGCATTTACTTTTCATCTAGCAAGCCGGCCCTGTGTGAAGTGAGTACACCTGTGTGTGAAGGCAGGCATGGAAAAGGGGCCCCAAAAGCAAGCCTTACATGCCCCCTGAATAGGGGCAAACCTATTTGCATGCCCTGGTGTGGCTATCCTGGGGCTGGAAGGCTAAGCTTGTAACGCAGTACTTGGTTCAGTGAATTCCATCTTGAGAATGCACTATTCCTCACACACACCAAATTTAAAAAGACTCCCCAGGCCAGCTTACCAATAACTAATTTAACCCATAGTTTGTCTCATAATAGCCTTTCCTGGAAGCCTAATCATTATTTTTCATTGTTAGAAAAATACTAGAGGCCTGATGAACAAATTTATGCACAGGTGGGGTCCCTCGGTCTGTCTTGCCCAGTCCCGATCGGGGCTGGCTGGCCAGCCAGGGGAAGGGACCATGGGAAGTTGGCTGGCTGGAGGGAGGGACCGCATCTTCCAGGTTGGCCAGCTGGCTCGGGGGATGGACTGTGGGAAGTTGGCTGTGGGAGCACACTGACCACCAGTGGCAGCTCCTGGATTGAGCATCTGCCCCCTTGGTGGTCAGTGCATGTCATAGCTACTGGCCGGTCATAATGGTTGCTTAGGCTTTTATAGAGACTTGAGGCCCGGTGCACAAAATTCGTGCACTGGGGGGGTGTCCCTCAGCCCAGCCTACACCCTCTCCAATCTGGGATCACTCAGGGGATGTCCGACTCACAATCCAGGACTGCTGGCTCCCAACCACTTGCCTGCCTGCCTGCCTGATTGTCCCTAACCACTCCCCTGCCAGCCTGATTGATGCCTAACTGCTCCCCTGCCAACCTGGTTGCCTCCAACTGCCCTCCCCTGTTGGCCCGGTCGCCCCCAACTGCCCTTCCCTGCCATCCTGGTCACCCCCAACTTGTGGCTGTGGGCACTGCCATCTTTGAGGGCAGGGCAGTCAATTAGCATATTCCCTCCTTATTGGCTGTGGGCACTGCCACCTTTGAGGGTGGGGCAGTCAATTAGCATATTCCCTTCTTATTGGCTATGGGCGCCACCATCTTTGTGACGGTGTGAGGGTCAATTAGCATATTCCCTCTTTATTAAGTAGGATAGCCTACATGCTAGTCAGCTTAAATTTGCACAGTTGTCTCTGTACGTTGCTGGCTGCATGGCTGTGCCTCTCTTTTTACCTATGTAAAAGCCATGCCTACAGCTAATTTTTTAGTTAAATTAATCTAATTCTCCATATCTGTAGTCCTCCTCCATCCCTTCTCTCCCTGTTTCATAATCCACTCTTAGAATGGGAAACAAGTTGGAGAACAAGTCTTCACAACAAAACAAACAGGGGGCATATAACACAGATCCATAATTTCCTTAATTTGGGGCAGAGCAGTGTTAGAGTTTAGTTTTATTTTGAACTGAATTTCCTGAAAATGACTACACTTCAGACCTGCATGAGATTGCTTTTAGACCTTGGTGCTCAGAGTATATTAACTTAGAAAACATGATTTCTGCAATGAGGTGTGAGAAGAAGTGTCATCCCGATTTCAGAGATGAGGAAACGGAGAGACTGCCTTTCCGTAGTTTCCCCCAGCCGCCTGAGCCATGGTGGGGTAAGCTCTAGAGCTTGGGACCCTCCCCCCTGCCCCCACTCTTCCCTTGGGTTCTAGAGGGAGAGTCTGGATGGCAGCCCAGGCCGTGAGCACACTCACAAGTGTGCCAGTCCCTCCAGGTGCCACTTCTTTGCACTTAGTTGTAACTTTGAGCTGGAGAAAACAGACTTTGACACACCCAAGCCACATTCATTTCTTTTTACTTCAACTAGGGTTTTATCTCCTTTCTTAAACCAAAGGTAGACAATGATATATAGCTTCCCTCACAGGAGCCTCTTAGAATAATTTTTATCATTCTGTCTTGAATTTTTGTCACTTTTCTGTTTTAAAAACTGTTCAGGGTTAGTGTGCCTTATTTTTTATTTTTATCAGGCTGGGATTTCTCAGCTATGTCATGTAGGCCCTGTCCCAAATCTTGAGTCACCAACTTCCTTCTCACTAGTTTCCCAGTCAGATGTTCCCCTGAAGTCAAGAGTCTGTGCTGCCACCCCCTCAGCTTGCTGCATTCTCAGGAATCTAAGCAGCACTCACATGCTGTCCAAAAGCTCCTGCTCCTACTCTCACTTCCTCTTACCTGTGTTTTCCCAGGGTGCTATGATACCCATTGGATAATCTCTTCTGTCTTCTGCCATTAAGCCTGATGGCTCAAACCTTCCTTGCTGAAGCCTCCGCTGACTAACCCCAGACCCCTGATCAGATCCTTAACCCGCTCTCATGATGAATGGACCAGGCTTCCCTGGAAGGGTAATAGAATCCTGGGCCAGACTTCCTGAGTTCAAACCCAGCTCTGCCATCTCCTGCCCCTGTGACTTCAGGAAGGTCACTTTAACCTGTACCTCAGTTTGTTCATCTATGAAACAGGGATCAAAATTGTCCCCTGCTCTATGGAAATTAAGAGTTCAAGTTCATAGGATAGTGTCTGGCATACATTAAGCACTAGTTCAGTGTTAACTTTGTTCTGCCTGGTGGGTACAAGTCTTTATGGAACTACTAGAGGTCCAGTGCATGAAATTTGTGCACAGGTAGGGTCCCTAGGCCTGGCCAGCGATCAGGGCCAATCGATCGGGGCCTTCTGGCTACCGGCCAGGGCCTTCCTACCCTGGCTGCTGGCTGCCAGCTGGGTCCTTCCTTCATTCTGCACCACCCCCTGGTGGTCAGCGCATGTCATAGAGAGTGGTTGAACTCCCAGTCTGTAAAACTCCAAGGGGACAATTTGCATATTAGCCTTTTATTATATAGGATATTGTGACATATACAGTGCTACATCTTCCCCCCACTGGTTTCTTTGTTTCTGTTCTCTGCTGGAATACTGGACAAATATTGATTTTTTTTCATCATCTTGCTTCCCCTCTCATTCCCTCCTTTCTAGACCTAGACCTGGGACACAACTACCTAAACTAGGGTGTCTGTCTTCCCCAGGAGCTGGCTCCTCACAGCAGCATCAGTCTAGCACTAGAGTTCTGTGCCTTCCCTTTGGTCAGCATGCTCCAGAGTCACTACCCAATACCAGCTCCTGGGGATGCAGGAGCAGAGGTGTGCACAGCCCCTTGGCCTCCTGGTGTCTATGCTTAGGATTGGCATCATCCCCAGTGTCGGCGAGAAAGCCTTCTCTTGTCCATCAGTGCCCACCCCCAGCCACATCTCACCTCCTTGACCATTTCCTTTATGATCGATGGCGTTTGCTCCAATTCCTTTATTTCTTGGCAGCACTTGGAAGCTTGTTTTTACCCAGGCCTACTGTGGCTTCCTAGGAGACTGTGGTGGTGGCCAGGCTCTACTACCGCATGAAGTCCTGCTTGTTTCACAAGAAACTTTGCAAAGGCTCAGAGCATTTAACAGCTGGATGGATTCCCAGGTCTTTCCCTCCATCTTCTCCCACACACTTTCCTTAAGGGAGCTGTGTGTTCTTTAAGCCCTTCTCCTCAAAAAAAAATTTTTTTTCTGGGTAGTGAGACAAGCTATAGGCTATTCTCTTTAAGTTCAGGGTCACCTAAAAGAAGAGAAGAATGAATGGTTAGGCATAAAAACGACATTTGTTTCTCTCTTTTGTCTTCCTCTCAGGGGATCCTTACTATCAGGTTGAACCAAAATTGCTGATCTTTGGCCATGTTTGACCCCCAAGTTGGCAGTTTTGTACAGTTCATCCTAACACGTTCTTACTGGTGGGCTGTCTGTTACTCCAAGCAGAGTGCGCAGCTCATGCTGCCTCACCAGCCTGGCAATGAGACCAGGTGGAAGCCCTCAGGCGTCAGCCGCCGTTCTCGCCAGAAGACCAAGCAAGTTAATCCCCCTGCGTTGAATGTTATTCCTGTCTCTTAAACATCAATGCCCATGTGTTTGTTACAATCTAAACTGATGTTACAGAGCAGATACGGTATCCACGACAAAGCTGGCAGCATCAAGGATACTGGGGTCGCCTAGTCCTTTAATGCAGGTTTGTTTGACTTTCCAGACTTCTTGTACAGAACTCCCAACAAGGAGACCTGTGAACACAACCACCAAGCATGCTCCCGGAACGCCTTCTGCACTGACTACGCCACCGGCTTCTGCTGCCACTGCCAGTCCCAGTTTAACGGAAATGGGGAGCACTGTCTGCCGAGAGGTGAGGCGTGCCAGCATGATTAGGGCTGGGGGCTGCTCCGTGTCTATTGCTGCCACTTGCTCATGTCTAGCTGCCACTGGGAGCTCTGTTTGTAGACCTTGTACCTCTGCTACCTGAACCGAAGCCCTAGCAACTCGCAGATGCTCAGTGACTGTTTGAGGAATGAACATGTTTGGGCTGATGTCCCAATTTGGGTATTAACTAGAAATGTTTCCTCCTTTTTGCCAGCTCATTAGAGTCAAAGTGGATGGGAGAGAGGGATGATGGGAGAAAAGAGGTCAAAGACAGGTGTATTTCATACTGAGATGGATAATTGGTTGATTCGGGGAATCATGGAGATGGCTAATGATTGAGTTTGGGGGGCTGCAGTGGGATTATGTTTTCTGTGGGCCCCTCCCCAGCCTGGATGGTGGTCTTGCTGTTTTTCAGGGGCACCTCATCGGGTCAATGGGAAGGTGAATGGCCACCTCCTCGTGGACCACACCCCCGTGACCTTCACGGACGTGGACCTGCATGCTTACATTGTGAGCAATGATGGCAGAGCCTACACAGCCATCAGCCACATCCCACAGCCCGCCGCCCAGGCCCTTCTCCCCCTCACACCCATCGGAGGCCTGTTTGGCTGGCTCTTCGCTTTAGAGAAACCAGGCTTTGAGAACGGCTTCAGCTTCACAGGTAAGCAGGGCCTCTGAGAGGGCCAGCGGTCACTGTGGCTTTGGTGGCATTGCTCCTTGGATTCTTAGTCAGTGGAAGAGGATTTGCCTCCTCAGTGTCCCAGAGCCACAGGTGTGTAGTTTCCTGTCTGGAGGTAGCTGGGGATGGTTTGACCTCGCAGGACTGTTTTTGAAAGACAGTGATTTCTTCTAAATGGCATCTGCTCCAATTCCTTTATTTTGGGTGGCACCAATGGCCCTCTTGTTTTAATGGGCAGAATAAGTGGAAGATGGAAGGAACTACTGGAGCATTGAGCTACCCTGGCTCACTGTGGCTTCCTCCACGTTGTCCTGACAAATGGAATGATTCCATTTGGGCATTGTGTCTTCTCGCCCCCATTTGTTGAAGCTTGTTGGTCAGGCTTTTTTTAATTGAGTTGTTATGCACAGATCTTTCCAATAGGGAGGCACAGATGGTAACAATGGGGCACCTGGAGATGGTAGAACTTCATGGGAAAGGGCATGCCTTTCTTCTTCTCCTGCCCCCACCACCCTGACCTGTAAGCGTAGAGACCAGAGCTGCTCAGACGTTATCCAGCACGCAGATCCCCTGGGGTCCTTGTGAAAAAGCAGCTTCTCGTTCAGTAGGCTCAGGTGGGGTCTGATTTGGTTTTCCCAACAAGCTCCCAGGCGATGCTCGTGCTGGTGTAAGGACCACCCTGTGATAGCGAGAGTGGAAAGGGTAATTTTTGGCTTCTCTGCTCTCCACCTGAAAAAGCTTGTTTCCTGGTAGAATTATCTTATTGCACAGAAAGTGCTGAGAGAAAAGTCCCCCCTCCCACCTCCAGCTGTAGAGCTCAACAGCTATTAGAGGATCTTGCTCTTAATAAGGGTTTGACTAAAACCTTGAGTCAAAAGTAGATAAATATAATACAGTATACCCAGTTACATTTGAATTTCAGATAAACAATAAATAATTTTAATAACTTAATATAAACATTCCCCAAATATTGTGTGGGACATGCTTATGCTAAAAACATATTCATGCCCTAACCAGTTTGGCTCAGTGGATAGAGCGTCGGCCTGCAGACTCAAGGGTCCCAGGTTCGATTCCGGCCAAGGGCATGTATCTTGGTTGCGGGCACATACCCAGTAGGAATCGTGCAGGAGGCAGCTGATCGATGTTTCTAACTCTCTATCCCTCTCCCTTTCTCTCTGTAAAAAATCAATAAAATATATTTAAAAATTTTTTTAAAGAGATAAAAGAAAACATATTCATTATTTATCTGAAATTGAAGTGTAACAGGGTATCCTGTTTTGTTTGTTAGTTTGTTTTTGCTAATTTGGGCACCCTTGGGAAGAGAACGGTCAGTGATGTTTCCAGGAGTTTATTTCTCATGGAAAATAAGCTCCTACAAAAAGAAATGGTGTGAGATGTGGCAGGATAACAACACACGCTGTAAGAGAGAAGTTGAGGAGCTGTTGTAATCGACAGCTGGCAGCACTTAGTCTTGGGTGTCACGTGATCTCCTTAGGCCCCCTCTCCATCAGCAGTGGAAATTGGGAGGAGGACGTATGCACTGGTAATTATTACGAGAAGATGCAAGGCCTCTTTTCATCTCTGTACTGATTTTTTTCACCCCCTCCAGGTGCTACATTTACCCATGACATGGAAGTTACTTTCTACCCAGGAAAGGAGAGGGTTCGAATCACTCAAGTTGCTGAGGGGCTTGACCCAGAGGACTATCTGATCATTAAGACCAACATTCAAGGCCAGGTGCCTTATATCCCAGCAGGTTTCACAGCCCACATGGCTCCCTACAAGGAGCTTTATCACTACTCGGACGCAGGTATGCGTAACCGGTCTTCACATCTGTAAAATGGGAATAGTACATATCTCCCAAGGTAGTTATGGAGATTAAGTGTTACTACATGGAATGTCCTTAGACTAGTGTGTGGCACATAAAATAAGCTTAATGTCGTTTTTATTATTTTTGTTGTTAATATCAAATTTATAGTGTAAGTGAGCAGGGTGTCAGCTGCTATACACAAGGATCTTAATGTTCCTACCCAGCACTTTCAAATAATAATAATGTCATTAATAACAACTTTGATGGGTAGCGATGCTATAATTATATATAGTTTTTAACCATTTACTCTCTGTGCCATGTCAAAATATTGATGATTGGAATTGAGACTCATCCTATATCCTTATTTCAGCCTGCTTCAAAGTCACAGGCATGCTGCAGTGTTGTAAAATTAATGCCAGGTTTGGAGTCAGAAGATAGTGTATCCTGGATTTGCCACTTAAAATAGATGGGGAAAAGGCCATCATCCGAGAGCCTATTGTCTCATCTTTAGAATGAGAATAACAACGCCTTTTCTGTCCCACTTCGTGGGAGAGATGTGTAAAGCGAGGTCTTTGTAAAACACCACCCGAATGCAGGACACTGCCAATCCCAGCTGCTGCCCTGCAACACGGCAGTTTGCTTGGGTTGTGCCTTCCCTTGGCTCTTGCTCCTCTTACTGGGTGAGGACTGGATGCCGGGCAAGAGATGCAGGGAAGAGAATGGCTGCTGAGACCTGGACTGTACACAGAATAGTGGGTGTCCAGATAACTGACCTGCGCTCCTGACTTGGGACTCAGATTGAGAGAAATGACCCCTTCCTTTCCCTGGAGCCCTGCAGACTTACTCAGGCGCAGGGGGTTGGAAGCCATCACCTGTGTGATGTAGAGGACGGACTGGCTAAAATCGTGGGGCGTAGAGTCAGGTGGACTTGAATTCCATTCCAGCTCTGCCACATGCCAGCCTTGCATCTTCGACGACTACTTAACCTTTATAAGGCTCTTCCCACGATCACAGGGCTCACCTCTTGGTCTGGCACATAGTAGCACTTACTCTTCACATAGCAACAAGCAGTGACTGGACCTCCTCCCTCTCAGCACTCTGGCTCTGTGTCAGCTCAGGTTCTGGGGATTGCCTTGCAGGTTTCTATGTAAACTCAGGTACTTCCCAACCGAACATGTCCCAGGAATTAGATTAAAAAAAATCTAAGTGTATAAAAACATACTCTATGTGAAATTCTCTGTATTTAATATTTTTCAAACTTACCAGTTTGCCTCTGTCTGTTGCAGCTGTGACCTCCACAAGTTCCAGAGACTACTCTCTCACCTCTGGTGCCATCAACCGCACACTGTCCTACCACCTCCAACAGAACATCACGTACCAGGCGTGCAGGCACGCCCCCAGAGCCCTGGGCACCCCCGCCACCCGGCAGCTGACTGTGGACCGGGCCTTGGCCTTGTACAGTGATGAGGAAAGAGTGCTTAGGTTTGCTGTGACCAGTGAAATTGGCCCTGTCGAAGGTATAGCTTCCTTTTTTGTTCTTGGGCAAAGTTACATGTAACCTTTCTTCATACCTTTTTGGGTCGCCTCAGAATGATTCACAGAGGTTCCTAAAGGCTGCTGAGCCAGGGTCTGTGTTATGTGCTGGTTCTGAATAAAGCAGGTCCTGTCCTTGAGGTGGAGACAGAGGCAGAAATGGAATTTTCAGAACAATATCCTTGCCAAGCTCAGGAATAGAGCATCGTATGTGAAGCTGGTTTGTAGCAATAATTGTGAGCACCAACCTGTACTGGGGATGCAACTGTGAACAAGCTGGGGCCACGTTAGGAGGGAGAGTGATGCTGGCAGGTAGTTGCTGTAATTGTGATAAGTACAGGGTGCTTTTAGCCTGGTCTGGAGGTTCAGGAAAGATGTCCCTAAGGAAGAGACAATTTAGCTAAAACTTAAAGGTGGGACAAAAATCCAGTGCCCCCCCAAAAAACAAAACAAAATAGAGCTGACATGTATGAAAAACCTACAGTTAACACCATACTTAATGAGGAAAGACTGGATGCTTTCCCTATAAGATCAGGAACAAGCCAAGGATGTTTGCTCTTCTCTTCAATATGGTTCTGTGAGTTCTAGCCAGGGCTATTAGTCAAGAAAATGAGACACTGGAAAGGAAGAAGTAAAATGATCTGTATTCTTATATAGCATGTTCTTATATGTAGAAAAAAATCTAAGGAATTCACATTAAAAAACTATTAGAACTAATAAGCGAATTCAGCAAGGTTGCAGGATACAAGATCAATATAGTAGTAATGAGTAAACTGAAAGGAAGTTAGGGAAACAATTCCATTCCAAAAATAATAAAATACTTAGGATTAAATTATAAACTTTTAAAAACACAATATGTCTACATTGAAAACTATAAAACATTTTTGAAAAAAAATTGAAGATCTGAATGAATGGGAAAATATTCCATGCTCACAAATAAAAAACATAGTATTATAAAGATTGCAATACTTCCTAAATTGACCTATAGATTCAACACACTTCTGTCAGCTGGTTTTGTGTGTGTGTGTGTGTGTGTGTGTGTGTATGTTTTGAGAAACTGACAAGTTGATCCTAAAATTCATATGGAAACTTAAGGAACCCACAAGAGCCAAAATCATCTTGAAAAAGAACAACAAAATTGGAGAATTCATACTTCCTGAGTTCAAACTTAGAGTAATCAAGACATTGATCTGTATAGTCGGAACCAGCCATAAGGCTAGACATACAGATCAATGGAACAGAAGTGAG